TTTTTTACTAGAATAAGATGAGACACAAAAGATGAAATCAGCTGAACAAATCTCATGTAATATTGGGTATGTACTGATCGATTGCTGACATTACAGTAGAGATGATTATTATTGTTTCGTGCTGCTATGTATGACATCATTGAACATAAATTAAATATGAAGTGCTTAATAAGTTTACGATTAGATGCAAAATGGTTCGCTCGTGTTGGAACAAACTCAAACTTAATGTTAGTCCAAAAAATACTCATCAAACTACCAAGGACAAAATTAACGCAAATCGTATTTTTGAGGGATATTTTCATGAATAGTGAACAAGAAACAACACAAGGTTTTCTGAAACCTTTTTCGTCCATAGAATTTTGTAGAACCCGTTACGCTTCCAAGAGATTCAATCCGACCTGTAGATTCGATCGAAAACGATCGGATCCGCCTCGGATTTCATCGGAATCCGACATCTTTCATAAAAAACCGATCGAATCCGACAAATATAGGACCGGATCCGACCGAAATTATTCCGAACTGGCGAGATCCGACTGGGGTCGTTTGACCTGGGCTGATCATTTTGGTAAAAGAATATTCAAATTTACTCAATAAAAACGCTATTACTGTCAAAATATTCACAAGCATCAACTATCGCTCTGCAGCCCTTAGGCATAGTCGAACGTGTTCGGTATTTTGACCGTAGTAGCGTTATTTATTGAGTAAATTTGAATATTTTTTTTACCAAATGATCAGCGTAACGAGCTCTACAAAATTCTACGGACGAAAAAGGTTTCAGAAAACCTTGTGTTGTTTCGTGTTGACTATTCATGAAAATATTCATCAAACATACGAGTTGCGTTAATTTTGTTCTTGGTAGAAAGATGCAAGAACAGCTCTCACAATTATGTAAGTATTAACAGAAAAATAACGATCGATCAAAATGCATTTACTATATAAAGAACTTTGAAACATTCAGTGATGAAACTACATTAATCATCTAATAGAAATTTATATCAGTAAAACGTTCGTAATAATGAATTTCTTAGTTTATATTTTGTGATATTCCAAAAGAAATAAATAATTAGCATATAGCTTTGTCCATTTACAATAACACTGAAACTATTTTAATAAACATAAATCAACACTACTGTTAGACTTTGGCATATATTGTTCAAGTGTGCTTGTGAATAGAATATATTTTAGTTGTAATCATTCGACAAATTAACAAAACAAATGCAATAGAACATTCAGTTATGATACATATGTGATTATTTATTATTATGATGACATGTTACTTTTAACGAAAGTTAAAGTTAAGAATAAAATTGAAGATTATAGATAAAACTCAGTGTACAGCTTGTATATTAATATAAATTATAATTTATATCATTTGCAAGATTATGTGTAAAACGTTGGAATACAACGAAGTCAAAGAAAACACAAATATAATATGAAAAAAAACTATTACACTAAGGATCTATTGCCTTCCAATTTCATGAAAATTATCTTGTTTCACTGAAATTCACATTGCAGAAAATTCTATTTTTTACCAGCTGTATCAATTTCTTTTTGTTCTTCTTTATTAAATGGTTCTCGTTCTCCTTTTGTTCGAGATAAAAATGGATTCGGTGCATCAGATCCAACATCAGCTAATTTATGATTGACCCTAAAATGAAAAATTTATGAAATACCACAGGTTAACAAGAAAAAATTAATTAACATACTGTCGATGAGTAGCTTCATCAGCACGTACAGCTAATAAAACATCTCTCATCATAGCATCATCTGATAATTTCCAATATTTTTTAGCAATTTGTGGTGCTGGTGTTTTGGACCATATAGGTAATCTACCAGCATCAAGTTCTTCAATGCAACGAGTATATGTAATTACAGCTTCTTCTTCAAGAAAGCCAACAAAACGATGACAAATTTTTGGTGAAAGAAGATAAGTCAAAAAAAATCCACTTAATAATGAAATATCAGTGTGAAGAATAATAATAGAAGTCAATTCTCACTTAAAAAAAATACCTTGACCCAATAGAACAAATGTACGAAAAATCCAACCAGGATTTCGTAATTCTAAAAATGTTAATAGATGCATACGTTCATTTTCTGCTTCAGATAAAAGTGTATGAATCCATCCATAGTCACGCTGCATTGTACCTACATAATATCGACAATGAAATAAATTAAAAACAAAAAAAAAAAGAAAAGAAAAACTTACGAAGAGATTTCATATGACGATTCATGCCAGCAACCATACCTGGTACACCAGCAATCGATTCTAAAAATATAATACGCCTCAACCATTGTTTTTCGGTCATAGGATTTTTTGGTCGATGATTTTGTTTTTCAGTATTCGTTTTTGATCGTGGAGATTCATGAACATAACCAGTAAATGTATCAAAAAAGAAACGTAATGTATGTACAGCTGCATAAGCAAGTCGATCGTGCCATGATTCAATTTTTTTATGTGTTATTTTAACAGCATTGACTTCTTCTTCTGAATAAATTTCATGATGCATCATATAGCTATTTGAATCTGTAAAGTTTAAGAAAAACGATTCAAAGCATTATCAATAGATAGAACAAACTTTTATAAAGTCTACACTTTCTAATCATAATATTTCCTATTCAAACTTCAAAGATGAATTAAATAGAAGATATAATGATAAGCTCACCATTTTTCTTCTCTATACATACCTTTTCGATCCGTGCTCGCAAAATCTTTGATTCGCATATGAGGCAATTCGTCATATCCATCAGATTTAATTGAATCTTTCTTTTCAATTAATTTTTCCATATTCCTTAATGGTAAACTTGTATGAAGAAGACAATACTGTTGAAAAGAATTGCAATCGACAAGATATTTGGTCGTTGTCAAAGACAAACGTTGAATGTGGAAAAATAATTTTATATTATTCATTTTGAAAATCTACAAATTCGAGAATATAATATATTATGAATTGATAACAATCATTTTTCTCTCACTGGCTTATGAAATACAGAAAGAATAAAATATAAAACATTGATATAATCATCTAAATTATATGGACTTGTTTTTAAATATATTATAAACAATACCAAAAAAGAAAAGCGCTCTTCGCTAATGCAAATTTGAGAATTTCTTTTTTTTTAAATTATCAAATACTGTGTATTACATAGAGCTAAGATAAAAGCTAAACTTAAAATATGTCTATACTCGTTAGTAAATACTTTATTTATTTGTCGTAATTTATTAATTGCACATGCAAAATTCACACACACACAAATACAAAACAAAGATTATCAGACTACTTTATCATAATCTTTCTTTTGACATAGCGATTTTTCACTTGTTCTACACATTTATGAGCAAGAAAAAGCATACTTGAAGTAAGCAAATAAAAAATTATAGAATATATGATTGTATTATTTGGCATTTTATTTTTAAACCAATTTGAAGCTAGTCCAAGTACTAATACGAAACAAGATACGGTAAACAGAAGTACACCTGACGTTGCGTGATAAATGCGAAGTTGTGCATAAGGTAATCCTATTGAACGAATATATCGTTGAAAAATAGTAAGAAAAAGACCGCCTAAGGCTTGTACTAATGACCAAATAAAAGCAATAAATCCAATAAAACCATGCCTATAGAAGAAAATAATGAAATACACTATAACATAAATATCATTTTTATATACCAGCTAGTAAAATGTGGTTTGTTTCCTTGTTGCTTTCTTAAATAGATTGCCGTAAAAGCAATAATTGAACAAATGATAGTACCAACTTGTAAAAGTGAATGAATAAGAATTTGTTTTCGTCGTGTTAGTGATGGAGAACGTGATGTATCATCCGTTGAAAAAATATGTATTGCTTGAAACATAAAACCAAGATACTAAAAAAATAATATATATATATATAGTCTTGTGAAAAATTATAGAAACACCTGTGCGAGTCAAACTGTTCGTTTTTTTTGTGTTATAGTTTAAACTTCCGTAAGAAGCTGATTTTCTGGAAATATGTGCATTCGAGTATGCTCTATCCAACTATGCAATCAGATTCTTGAATATTATTACCAGATTTGAGGGAAAAAAAGTTAGTTGAAATAGGTCAATTTTTGCCTATGAAAAATTATAAAATCGCTTTAGCTATTTTTCTATTTCTGCATTTCGAGAATTCCAATTCTGATCGAAAGTCACATATAGCTAGAGGATCTCCTGTTGAATATTTTCATTATAAAAGGTTTGAAAAATTGTTTATCTTTGGATTTAAAATCAAAGATTAGTGGTCAAGCAA